AAAAAGTTGGTTTTGGGTTCTTAAGGCAATTGTGTTGTGTTCAAACTTGTTCTAGTGGGTGTAAGGTTCAGGGTTTGGCCTTTGGGGGTCACCCGAAGGGTCCAAGTACTCAAAGATTCCAAAGACTATCCAGTAGATGGTTTTGGAGTCCTAAGATCCTATTATTATTGGGTAGGGTGTACCCATAGGCCCCATAGTAGTTCCTTTTTGGGGTTACCTTATGGGACTCTATATATGAACCCCAAACAGGAACTACTTTAGCCGCCTATGGGTAGGTCTCCTTTGTCATAGTTGGGTAACATTTTACATTTTTAAGGGTACTTAAACCCAATAAGGAATATAGATTTAAATTTTTAATACTACCCCAACCATGAACTAGTCTCGATGTCAGAGCCCAGGAAGTGGTATCCGGTCTGCGGCGACAGCTTTGAGCTGGAGAATGCATGTGCCCTCGGCTCCAAAAGTTGCTTGGGTTGAGGGTTTTGGGCTTGGGGTTGAGGGTTTAGGGCCGTTTAGGACTTAGGGTTTAGGTGTTTAGGGGTTTCGGGAGCCTTCAGGTCCCCTAAACCCTAAACTCCTAAACCCTAAACCCCTAAACCCCAAACCCTTAAACCCCAAAACCCCAAAACCCAAAACCCCAAAACCCCTAAACCCTAAACCCTAAACCCCCAAAAGCCCTAAGCCCAGGCGCCGGTGCCCTCCTCAAGGCCGTGGATTCGCGCTGCCGCGCGCCCTTGGACAAAGCCGCGGGCACGCTGAGCCAGGGCCAGGACCTCTTGGGGTTTAAAGATTAGGATTTATTAGGGTATGTTAAGGTTTTATTAGGGTTTAGGGTTTAATTAGGGTTTATTATGAGGGTTCAGGATTTATTAGGGTTTATTAAGGTTTATTAGGGTTTAGGGTTTATTAGGGTTTTATTAGGGTTTATTAGGGTTTAGGGTTTATTAGGGCTTATAGGGTTCATTAGGGTTTAGGGTTTATTAGGGGTTAGGGTTTATTAGGGATTAAAGGTTTAGTAGGGTTTAGGGGAGGTAAGCTGGGGCTTATATGTGGGTGGTAAGATGTTGAGACGGATTTTATGTAGTAATTCAACAAGGGTGTTATCAGGGTTTGATGAGGGTTGTATATAGCTTATAGGCCAAGTTAAGGAGCTTAGGGTTGAGGGGAAAACAAACCGGACCCTCCGAAGGTGTTCGTTTTGCGGCCCGTTCTGGTCACCAATTGGAGTCCACAGGAGGGTTTCAGGGTCTCTATTGAGTGCAGGATTTTAGGTTTGGGGATGTAGGGCTTAGGGTTTCTACTGGTAATGCTCGCGAATATGGGATATGCGGCCATTCAGAGTTTAGGAAGTTCAGTGTTCAGTACTTAGGACGTTCTTTTAGGCTGTCAGGGCTTCACATTTTGGGTTTTGAACACCGGGTTGAGAGAGTTGCAAATGAAGGGTATAGGCTCTGTGTCCCAACCCGGGTTGCAGACGCCTGAACTTTCGTTTTCCAGGACGACGCCCGGCTGCCGAAACAGCTGGAGGTGGTGCAGGGTCTTTTACGGTCGGAGAGTACAGTCTTTGCTTCCGAGCTGTAGGTTTAAGAGTTTGGGATTTTCCGGGTCTATGATTGCGGCTGTGGAGCATAGTAGAGAGAATTGCGTCTCGGGTAAGGCACGCTTGTTCTTTCCCCAAAGGATGTGCGGATCCCCACTTAGAGCTTCAGCACTGGAGACAGAAGCCCTAAACCCTAAACCCTAAACCCTAAACCCTAAACCCTAGACTCCCTTTTACCATGGGTTGAATCCCTGTCGCTGAACCCTGAGGGTATCCAGCATCTCTTTCTTTCAATTCAGGGGGCTGCGCAGGAGTTGAGACGGCTAGCACCAGTAGCAGTAGTAGTAGCACCAGTAGCAATAGTAGTAGCAGTAGTAGTAGTAGTAGTAGTAGTAGTAGTAGTAGTGGTGGTAGTGGTAGTGGTAGTCGTGGTAGTAGTGGTGGTGGTAGTGGTAGTGGTAGTGGTAGTGGTAGTAGTAGTGGTAGTAGTAGTAGTAGTAGTAGTAGTAGTAGCAGTACTAGTAGTTGTAGTAGTAGTTGTAGTTGTAGTTGAAGTAGCAGCAGTAGCAGCTCGGTAGCCTAGGCAGATTTCAGAGGTGCTTTCCTGGGGTCATTTATGAGGCTGCAGAAGAGTCCCGGACACAAGGGCTTTACTTGGGTTCAGAGGTTTTAGGTAGAAGAAATTACAGGGCTTTCGAAAAGGGCTTCGGAGCCTTGGGACGGATGCTTATGGATTTCACAGGGAAATACAGCCTGACAGGGTTGACGATGTGCAGGAAGGCTTCAGCACAAAGGAGACGGTGCGTTTAAGCTTGGCGGACACACCATGAATGCCGTCTTGCGGGCTCAGGAAGCAGGTTTCGATCAAGGCGTCCGTTTCCCGAAGTGGAGCACTCTACATGTCAGGTAATATACGGGCCTAAATAAGTACCTATACCATTTGGGGGGTTTACTATAATCATATATAGTATACTGGGCCCAAAACCCTATTCTAATGAAGGCCTCTATTTTTTTGCGTGTCAGGTACTAATAATCCTATAGAGCTCCCGCCTCCAGCCCAAGGCGGTGGGCAGCTGCATGCTTCAGATGGCAGCCGACAAGGCCCTCCCACTGTCTTTGTCTTGTGGTCTTGATTCAGTCGGTTCCTCTGGTTTACAGGTGTTGGGTGTAGGGTTTGCTAGACTTCCGGGTTTTAGGGTTTAGGCATGAAGGGTTTCGGGCTGTTATTGGGGTTGAGGGTTGAGGTGCAGCTACAGGGCTTCGAGTTTCGCGTTATGGTTCAGCTTCGTTTGCATGACTGCTCCGGCATTCTTTACCCCACCCGTTCTTAAGATGAGCATTGATCGGCATATCGTTTGTGTGGTCAGCATGTTGCGTTAGCCTCAGCCCTCCGACACTAGCGAGACGGGTTACCCGGTAGCTAGCTAGATGAGCTAGCTAGACAGCTAGCTAGCTTTAACATGTCAGTGTTCATCGCCCGAGAGGATGGCTCCACTTTCATGAATCCTTCGCCGCCTCATGGCGTTCGGGTTTGATGCCGAATTCCCGAAACCCATGCCTTAGGCCAAACAACGTAATGAGAACACTGCAACCCTGAACTTGAAACCGCAAAGCCCTGAAGCCTAGCTTGAAACCCTAACTTAAAGCCCCGCACCCATTCACCCCAAAAGTTTATGTTGAATCAGGGATGTCACTCATGTTTTGACACAAACTAACCCTAAACCCCAAACCCCTAAACCCTGTGCCCATACCCTGTAGGTCCAGCGTTGCAGGTCGTGAGGGGTTACACCGGGCTCCTTAAAGCTGAAAGCCGTCCCGACCCTGCAGGCTCTGAAGGTGTCTGTGGACATGGAGGAGGCAGATGTCCTCGTGTTCTATTTGGGGCTCTTGCCGGGTTGCATAAGGCATAAGGACTCCTACAAAAGTCGTTATACATTCCAAAAATTAGGTCAGGGTTGAGAGAGTTCAAGGCCGTCGTCCAGTGGAAGTCCCGAGGCCTTGAGCCGTCCGTTGTCAGCGATTTCAGGGTTCACGGCAACTCTCCACTCCAGAGGCTTGACCCATAGGCGCCACAGTAGTTCCTTTTTGGGAGTCCCTAATAGGATTCTAAATATGAACCCCAAAAAATAACTATTATGGGGCCTATGGGTATCAAGGATTCCTTTTTTTTCTAACCCACAGCCGAAAATGTCGGGTTCCGGGGTTCTTGATGTTTCAAAGTCCTCCAGGTTTTCCAGGGCCACATTCCTGTCTTTAGTCTATAGCCGTGATGCCCAGAAGCACTGAAGCTATCACAATCAGTGCTTCTTAGAATCTAGCCGGGTTCGCGGTTTTTGTAGTGCTTTCGAAGATCTGTATCCGTATTTCTATCTCCACCTCTATCATTATCTGCATCTCTGTCTATGTGTCTATCTGTTTATCGGTCTGTCTATCTATCTAACTATCTAACTATTCATCCATCTATCCATCTGTCTGTGCCTATCTGTGCCTATCTATGCTATACACTCCCTCAACCCTAAACCCTAANNCCTAAACCCTAAACCCTAACATCGAGCTTATACTGTGCGAGGTAAGACTCGCCTCTTCTGCAATTTCAATCTACCCAGAAGTGCTTCGAATTCTATCGGCTTTACCCATGGGCCCCATGGTAGTTCNNCCTTTTTGGGGTTCATATTTAGGATCCTATTAGGGAATCCCTACCCATGGGCCCCATGGTAGTTCCTTTTTGTGGGCTTATATTTAGGATCCTATTCGGGAATCCCAAAAAGGAGCTACTATGGGGCCTATGGGTAACCGTTAATCCAGACCACAGCTCGCTAGGTGCGGCGCCGCACGCAGCTGGCGAAGCAGCTCGTCGCGCGCGGGTAGCGGCCGGCGATGATCTGAGGGTGACCCATAGGCTTCTTAGGATCAGGGGGAAGTGTTTAGGGCCTTTTAGGGTTTAGGGTTTAGGGCAAGCCCGCCAAAGCTTGGGCCCCTGAAACCGTTAGCCCTGCCCGCAGCGGGAAACCTCTCTACCCGAAACCTCAAAAAGCCGCAAGCTCCGGCCTTTCCCCCAAACCCTCGGGCATTTGTGCCTCGGCTCCGCAGAGCGATCGGCAGTACAGCCGCAGAGAGTTCGGAGAAAGCTTCGGCAGGGGTCTTGGTTTAGGATTTGAGGTTTGGGTTTAGGGTTTAGGGTTTAGGACTTGAGGTTTGCGGTTCAGGTCATGTTCAAGCTTTATAGGGATGACAGAGCATGCGTTTGGGGGCCAAGGGTGCCTCTAGTCTGCTGTCCGCTGTCGTCGCCATGATTTTGCAGGACCGCAGACGCGGCACCAAGTGGGTCGGGCCTGTGATTGTAGAAGACTGAACACTTCTAGCGATTTAGGGGTTTCCAAAAATAGGGGACCCTAATATAGTACCCTAAATAATAGGCTCCTTATTATAAGGACCCCCAAGATAATGTACCCCAATTTTCGGAAAGCCCCAAATTTGGATATTCCACATACCATGGACCAAGCCATGGCGGTGGATGTCGCTTTTGCTGCTGCTTTCGAGTTCCGTTCCCCTCAGGGTCGGCGCGCTTGCCGAGCTGCTTGTTGACGACTATGCCAGACTCGCACGTACAGGTCCTGGAAAGAGTCCCTGGCGGCCCCATTGAAGGCGGGTGTCTTATGAAAGGCGCCCTCGGCGTAAGTGGGATTGTTGGCTACCAGGAAAACGATGGCCTGCGGGCCCTGCCAGCGCGCCCTGCTGCGGTCCCGGACCCACCACTGGCGCAGCCGGTGTCAAGACCACCCCAGCCCAGCCAGAGGAGCCGCTTCTGTACTTCTTGCGTGACCCATCTCGCCTGATCTGCCTGCGACTCTTGAGTTCGTCGGAGCTGGGCCGGGCTTTCAACGTGGTGGATGCGTTGCTGCCGATACTTCGCCTGAGCTAAGAGGCTATCACTCGGAATCGGGATGACACCTACCGGGACGAATGCCCCATTCTGGAGCAGCTCGAGTCCAAGATCTGGATCCAAGCCGCAGACGCACTGACAGAGAGTTCCCGAGAATAAGCCCCGAACTGCTGGAGGAGATCCTGGGGCCCAGCCTCATCTGCATGCCCAACTCCGAACTGCCGTTCATCTTGCAAGGCTGGAACTACAGAAGCGAAGAGCTACTTGGAGTGAGAAAGAAGCTTTACAGCCAATCATTGACATGGGCCGCATGGAGGATGAGCTTGCGCGCTGTACTTCTGAATATGGGCCTACTTGGGGGCAGTCCACATAGATGATCTTTTCTTGGATTTGTGGTATGACTGCAAAGACATGGCAGAAAGCGAAGGACGTGAACCACAGCTTCTGGATTCGTTCGTCAATGTCGTTTTGGGATGGAGAACTCCAATAAGTTTTGATGCAGAAAACGAAGGGGCATTGGAGATGTATGCCGGCAATCGTAGTCCTCAAGCTAGCGGATGGCTGCCTTATGATTCTATCAACCCTCTCCGTCGCCCTGGCAAGTCCACTGTCGGAGTGTACTGTTCCAAAGATGGTCTCCACTGGCACCCGGCTGCTGACTCGGGAATGTCCAAGATCCAGGGCAAGACACGGCTGCCCTTGAACAGGCCCCCTGACCTGGTGAAGATGTTTAAGCTCGAGGTTCTCGAAGGAGACTTCGACAACAGTCTGCAAGTTCAAGCAATCCGGAATCATGACTGTCATTATTGGCATCCGCAGGGGCTCTCGCATGCAAAAGAGCTGCAGGGTTTTCGGTCACCGCGCTTGAAGGTTTCAGGGTTTCAGTTTTGACTGGCTTTAGACAGACTTGAACCCTTCCACTGGAGCCTCCTTTTACAGTTGAAGGTTACCCATAGGGCCCCATAGTAGTTCCCCAGAGAAACCAATACCCCTTAATTAAGGAATATACCTTAAACTATAGGGGTCTTACTATTATTACTCAAGGTATATTCCTTAATTAAGGGGCATTGGGTTCTCTGGGTCCTTTTTGGGATGAAGTTGTAGCGTTGACACCTGAGGCCCTGAGCTCTGGAGGCTCACGCCCACTATGCCCAAAACCCAAAACCTCCCCGAATCCAAAAGCCCTAATGTCTGAACCTGATTAAGAAACCCTGGCCCTATAACCCCAATATATTAGGGTTCATATTAAGAACCCTAATAAAGGCCCAGGGTTTCTTAATCAGGTTCCTACATTATCAAATAATAGGCTAGTGTGTGGGCCTCTGAGGCAGGCAGGTGACCTTGAGACAAAGGGCCACTGCACCTCTAACCTTCGGACCCTAACCTCTTCGGACCCTAACCTCTATATAAACCCGAACGGCACAAGCCCCAAAGAACCTCCGAGTCGCAAGATGCAGCACTCACGCCTCACTTGGCTCGCTGCTCCTTCCCCGAAGCTGCTTCGAAGTTATGCTTGCCAGTTTTAGGGTGTAGGGTGTAGGGTGTGGGGTCGAGGGATGGTGACAAAGTGATGGACAGTACAAGCATGTAGAAGTAGTGACATATTTTTTCTGGACAACTTGCAGGATCTATTATCTATAGCGCTTATAGGGCTGGTGGAGCTGAATGGGCTGAATGTTTCGATCCGCAAACCCAGTCACATGAGCAAGCGTCACGAGTGTCTTCGGGTTACGGTTCAGGCTCCATAGCGGTGAATCGAAATTTATACGTTCCGCACGGTCACAAAATAGGTGCTACAGAGACCTCTAGACAGAACAAGGTGGGTTTTGGACTTCCGTATGAAAGCTTACTGATTTAATTGGCCGTGCTCCCTGCCATTATGGCAGACGCTCCCGCCTCAGCAGGCCCTTGGGAGGGAGAGCGGCTTCAGGCTTAAGGATTTAAAGATTTAGGATCTCGGGTTTGGGCGTTTAGGGCCTTTCGGGAAAGTTTTGCGTCAGAGTGTATGCGGGCGCAATGTCAAGTTCACAAAGGATGCAACATGTAGGATCAGCGGGTCTGGAACATCGTGGGTTTGCTGTTCGGTACACCATCATCTGGCAGTTTACGAAAATGAAGTCTAAACAGCAGCCACTGCATCTAAGTGTTAGGATCTTAGAGCAAGGACTCATAGGTAAGGACTCCCAGCTTCTCGTAGACCGACTTCCACGTAGAGAGACTTGTTCCTCTTGCCATGGCAAGCCCTTTTTACAGGTAGCTCTTCTTTGAGATACCTCCCTTTCCCCCCGTCTCTTCCCCACAAACCCTTTTATTCTCCTAGGGCAAACAGTCATTTCGTCGCCTGCGTGGCATCTTCAGGGACTCAGAGATTCTGACCTCGGGCATAGACCTTCTGTGAGCAATGATGCACGAGCTCCTTGCCCATAGGCCCCATAGTAGTTCCTTTTTGGGATTCACTAATAGGATCCTAAATATAAGCCAAAAAAAAGGGGCCTATGGGTAATAACCTTAAACTGTAGAAGGAGGCCCTCGCACTGTTCACAGGACGCTGCGCTTGGCTCGTCCTCGAAGGGCTCCGCACAGAGGTGGCTGGGGAGTGTGTGGCTTTTCGGCTTCTTGGGGTTCCTGGCTCGAGGGAATTTCACACGGAGCCTCAGGCTTACCCATAGGCCCCATAGTAGTTCCTTTTTGGGATTACCTTTTTGGATTCTAATATGAACCCCAAAAAGGAACTACTATGGGGCCTATGGTTAAGTGTAGGCTTGCAGGATGCAGTTTAGGGCCTTGGGCCGTGTTTCCAAAGTGTTCAACAGAGCGTTCTGGGCGCAGTGCGAGGGTTCAGCGTTTCGGGCCGAGGCTACGGACCAACACCCGGCTCTCAGCACTCGAAAAAGTTGCCGGTTCCACAGGGTGTCGGATGTTGGATGCATCATCATGGCTGTGGATGCAGGTTCAAGCCCCTGTGCTAGCTAAGAAAGTACTGAAGCTGCACGTATAGCATGTATCGCCTAGGTTGAAGAAGGGTTCAAGACCACTAAATCCCAAACAACAAAGCCCGTGAAATCGGCACACGGCTCTTCATCAGGAGCGAGCTGCGAATCTCGACCGTCCGGTACCCAGACTTGCTCCAGGGAGGGCCAGTCAAAACAAACTAAGCCCGAGACCATTGACCGTAAAGCCTCAAACCTATAAGACCCTAAGTTTTATGTCATGTAGCTTAAGGGTACTCCCTGGAAGTGCCGATGTAAGCATAGTATAGTATACACACCAAAACCTTATTCTACCCGTCCTGAGAAATTCGGGTTACGGAAGTTCAAAGGGTGCATGATTTCGCGACATGTTTGGGGAAGCCTAGAAGGTTCCAAGAAATGCTACGTTGGAGGGTTTAGGACTCAACAACTTGGGTTTGGGGGGTTGTTCATTTCAGAATGCTCAATCGCTCCCAGTGTTGACCCCCAACCCTACAAACCCGAAGCCCTAAAACCCAAAAGCCCCAAACCCAAATTCTAAATTTGTCTATCTCTCAATCTTTCTATGTCTATATATCCGTCTAGCGTTCTAGCTAACTAGCTATCTGTTTGTCTATCTTTCCATCTGTCTGTTTCACCTAGTTTAGCTATCTTTGCCATCGTTTCTATCATTGCTGTCTTGTCTTATATATTTGTCTGCCTACCTGTCTACCGATCTGCCCACCTACGTGTCTTTCCTTTCATCTATCCATCTACCCAGGGCTATCGAGATGTGGCAAGTAATCTTCATACATGTACATATGTATATCTATATATATA